CATGGTTTACTTTAAAGAAAAAGATATTGCTGTTTTAATGCAAAACGAGCTGGTTGTAAAATTAATTCAATAATTAGAAATTCAAATAAAAACACTTATTTAATGAGAGTAACATTTATTTATTTAAAACTAAATGGATCACAAATAAAAATCAAAAGATATGTTCAAATTGCCTTGCACTTCCTACGTTTTTTATTAAATTTTTTTGTGCGGCTTTATTAATCCTTAATTTAGGATTTAAATACGGAGACTAGGGAGGCCACAAAATGGTACAATGACGAACGATCCATATTCCTGGATAAACCAGATCCAAAAAAGCTATCACTTCTCGTGCGGACAGACATTATGACATAATGATTATGTTGAAACCACATTACTGTCCTACTATGGAGAAAGGCGTTTTCTTGTGCTATGGTAAAACTATGTATATTTTGTATCCGAATTCAACACAGAAATGCAGTCAAATATCTCATAAGTTAAATACCTACTGCTTTTTATAAAAATGTATACTATAGTTTATGCTAATTTCCCACAAATTTCTTGTTTGGCAGTTACTGCCTTTCTCCATAGTAGGGCAGATTACCCTGCCTATTGCCACAAAATGATACAATTTTATGTAGTAATAAAGAATGCGTTGCATTGTTATGCACTTATTGACCCACATTCAATGCGAGAAAAAAGGTCACATTATAGCTTCAAAGTTAATTTCTGAACCGGCATCTTAAACGGCCAAATAATTAATTGGTCCCTTTAAATTAACTAAAAGTTCAAATGAGAAAAATGTTTTTTTAGAAAACGAACTTATAAATCTTTTGGCCTGTTGCCACGCACAGGGCAATGTGGATTTAACATGATGACTGCCCAGCTCATTACGCACGAGCAGTGAGAAATTACTTGGATCAGGTTTATCCAGAGAGATGGATCGGATGGTCTTTGTTCCATTTTGTGGCCCCTTCGGTTTTCGGATTTAAATCCTCTCGATTTTTTTACTGAGTTTGCACAAAGGAAAAAGTCTTTGAATTGAGACACTGAATGAATGAAGCCGCACAACAAATAAATGATGCAGGAAGTGCAAGATGGATAAAACGACTTGATGGCACGCAATTTGAACACAATCTTTGATTTTAATTTGTTTAGTTTTAAATAAATATTTGTTACTTTTATTAAACAAGTATTTTATTTGAATTTATAATTATTGAAATAATTTTACAATGAGCTTGTTTTGTAGTAAAACAACAATATTTTTTTAAAAAGTATGGCAAATGTTATGCCATTTTAAGAACTACTAAAATTATGAATTTTTTAAAATATTTTGCCAAGTTAACGTGGTATTTTTTGTAAATTCTGAGTGGTCAAAATTAATGTTTAGTTTTCAAATGGTAAAAGACTAATACACTGCCTGTCAAAATTAACGCATAATAAGTAAAAAAGTTTTAACTCTAAAACGCCTTTACTAATCTTTATGAAATTTTGTATAAAAATACTTCAACTTATATCTCAGTTTACGTGTTTGATGGTTTTTCGAGAAAATATTTTAAAGAGCCCTTTTATTTAATAATAAAAAAACGTTCCAAAAATAACTTTTAGGGGAATTTTTTAACTAAATTAAAAAATATGCTGTTACAGACCGTATTTTTGTTAGTATACCCTGAAAATTTTGTACAAATCAAACAAACAGTAACGAAGATACAGCGCTTTAAAGTCGGTAAAAATGACCCCTTTTTGATTATATTTGTGAAAAATGGTAATTTTTGACGACTTTGAAGCGCTGTATTTTCGTTACTGTTCGTTTGATTTTTTCAACATTTTCAGGGTATATGAGTATGAGTATGGGAACGTATGGCAGGCCCCAAATATATTATCATCCACTAATCTTGAACCGACCCAAAACTAAGTACAATCCGGAATCCTCCTTAACCAGGGCTTTAGTAATAACCCCATTCATTTGGTATTCCTGAATGGGGGTGGGTGGATTAGTATGCTGCTAGCGCCTTTCCTTCATGATGTACTTCCTGTTTGTCGCTGTCCGAGTCGGATTTCGGTTCCTGATAGCCGCTATACAATTGTTTGCCCCCCTGTGCGATTGAGTCTTATCTTCAGAACCGAAGTGTTGCCGGCCGTACCCCGCCGTAATTAGTGCCCTCTGACTATGTGGAAATTCGTTTAACCTACTGGAATTGTCGACCATCGAATTATTTATTTTTTCCCACTGTGCGTGATCCCCATTCACTTGGGGTTGGATCCATCTTTGTGCCTCACTGTGCATTGCGGCTATACGCTTACTTAACGGTTTTTACTTAATTTATGACCCCTTACGTCTTCGTAATCTATAGATGTAAACATAAATAAATAAATTTCTTTAGGATGGTTTCTTTTGCCTAATGTTTATCCTAACTTGAGTGATTAATGGCTTCTTATGTGCCCTTGTGTTTATAGTTTTTTTTTAGTGTTTCATTTGCATGAGAATCTTGGAAATTGTTTGAGATTAATTAATTTTACCTGAAGAATTATTGTTAGTTAAAGGTTGCGTATTTCGTATTAACTAGTATTAATATTATTGGGTGGTCATGGTCATGCAATTTGGTAGCTACTTATCTAGTTTATGCAGACTTGGACTTCGGGATATTTGCCAGGCAGGTGTGCTAAAATTGATCCTTATCGCATGCCGCCCGCACGTGTCGTTTCCCAGGAAATTTTCATTGGAACTGATCGTCTCTCTCACACCTTTTAATCAGGTCAAACACTTGAGGACTTAGTCCAGGGTGAGGTACCACACACAATTTGCACTCTTTTGCACTTGGGACAGTTATCACGTGTAGAATCAATATTGTTTTTTATTATTTTACGGCGTTAACCAGTTATCAGAATCGATATTGATTTTTTTTAATTTTACGGCGCACTTTTCGCAATTGTTGCACTTTTCGCACTTGTTTGTTTATTTATTTATTTATTTATTACCGATTACCGGTATTTTCGCATACTTAGATTCGCTTTGATACTTTACTACGTTTGTATCGTATACGCTGCTTAGGAGAGGTCTCGTTAATTATCCATCCTTACACTTCAAGAGTCAAGACCCAACTGACAAAATCAAAATTCTTTATATTCTTCAAAAATATCCTTATTAGAGTTTATTAGATAATATTATAAATAAAGTATTTTTTGTAGAATAAAAATTTAGTAAAAAATACTGGCCCTTTTATTTCTTCTATTTCTCAATTTAGGGACCTCAAATGTAAATATCAAATGGAGAGCTTAATGGAACAATATTAAACGTTAACACAATTTTGCTTATGGTAAAAATGACATATTTATCCACTAAGCTCTTAAAATAACAAATAGTATATTTTTATTTTTAATATGTTATACAAGGTGGTCCAGGATCAATCTGAAAAACTTTAATGATCGATAGAGCATGAAAAAACAATAAAAACAAACCCAAAAACATTTTTCAAAAATACACACCAACACACTAATAGCCCTTTAAATGCAAAAAACCGTTTTTTTTAACTAACTTTTAAACCATTAAACCGATTCTGCTCAAATTTTGTGTAGTTAAAATTTCTTACAAAAGGCCCAGCGGCGGAGATTTTGGGGGCGTTTCCCCTTTTTACCCCCATACTTCGACCCCACTGAATTTTATTGGAAAATCAACAGATTGTCAAACACATTTGATTTATTATGCCACGTTATCAGTTTAGCAACATCGAATATGCAGATATTCATTATGTGTATGGACTATGTGATGAAAATACGCTAGCACCAGAGGTTTCGAGACTTTGAACTACGAAATAATATAATACAAAAATACGATCTTTCACAAAATGGTTTTTATTTACTAAAAAAAAAATTTCTAAATAAAAGGGATATTTTTTCGAAAAATCCTTGAACACGTAAACTGAGATATAAGTTGAAGTATTTTTATTCAAAATTTCATAAAGATTGGTGAAGGCGTTTTAGAGTTAGAATTTTTTTACTTATTATGAGTTAATTTTGGCGGGCAGTGTATAAGTTTAATTTCAAACTGCAATTAATAGCAGGCCTATTCAGGGTTACGCAACATAAAATATAATCTAAGAATATAGAATTTTGTAGCAGGCACTCAAAAAACTGATCTTAGGTGTCATTTCACAAAATTCATAAAAATGACAATCAGGCCAATTGTTAACGTTAGCCACTAGAATCAGTGGGTATCGTTATATTTAAACGGCCCCATTGGCCGGATTGCCCGATAACTGATTCTATTGGTTAACGTTAATGACTCATGTTAGTGAATTGGCCTGAATATCTTAAAAACGAACGATTTTTTACTAAGGTCATGTTTTGATTTTCTGGTTGGTAATAAGTTGGTCTATCAGTCCTCCAAAGAATATCGTTGACTTTTAGGACACCCTGTATAATATTTTGGCAACAAAATTGTCTAAAATATTCATTTTTTATTATGCTATAGGTACATTAAATTAAAAAAAAACGCAAGAAATATTTTATAAAAGTAGAGATAAATTTAATTATTAAAAGGTGTGGACGGGACAAAAAAAAGATTTATCTTGTTCTGTCCACATGTGTGCACACCTTTCAATTATTAAAATTATCTCTACTTTTATAAAATATTTCTTGCGTTGTTTTTATTTAATGTATAGCCTAATAAAAAATAATATTTTTGACAAAATATTATATAATAAATTATCTACAATTTTTTTTATAAAAACAGTTTTGTGATTTGTCCCGTCTGTATGCTTGAAATGGACGTAATTCTAAATAATTTATTTAAAAGTTTATTTTGAGAAAATTTGTTCATTTAGGCCTATATTGTATTAGCTGTAATGACTCTTTTACTAAAGAAAGAGCTCTAGAGTGCTCCAACTTCTCTATAGGGATATATCTATTAAGTAGGTAATAGAAGTAATTTATGGTATAAAAAATTATGTTTTAATAAACTTTATGTCAACATTATAATCTTACACCCTGTGGAAATAAATAATAATTAAAAAATATATTACCAGTGGGCATGCATTACAACCATCACCGCAAACACATCATCAAGGATAACATTTGGCATTAAGAAAGTTGCTGGAACAACCCCCAATAACGCAATAGCGACGCCTTTCTCAATAGGCCACAGCTTGCTGTGATCCCCAGACATAACCCGTTTTGCAATAACATTTTTGCTGACAACTGATACTAAACTGCCCTTGGTTGTATTTGCATTGTTCAACAGCTGTGAGAAAACTCTTGTGTTTACAGGTTTTACTTTCAACAAATTGGCTGGTAGCTTGGACAAAACTAAAAAAAATTGTAGGTATATATTATAATAATAAAATCTTGTTTGGTTTCCCAAAAGCCTATTGACTGTGTTTATACAAAATTAAGTATACAAATCAATTTATTAATTAATTAATATATTATAACCCTTTTTGATTGTTGTGTTATGTAATTTTTAATAAATTCACAGTAACATATAGCAGCATAGTAAATTATTTATTTATTATAATTATTATTTACCTTGTGTCCTAGCACTGTTTTTAAAAATTAACGATAAAGCCATCGTTATTTCGAATAGTTTTCGGAAATTACAAAATACTCAATTTTATCAGGAGTTTTGACAGCTGTCAAACTAAAGCACGGACACCAACAGAAACAATTGAACTATTTCCCAATAAAAACAAAAAGGCACCAGAATAACACACAGTTGGTGGTACTGGGTGAATGACTCGGCGGCTTAAATTTGACAGTTGTACGGTGAATAAAACAACAAATTCGCTTTGTGTGAGAAACTGATTTAAAGATGTCTCAGCTTGAAGATAAGTCGATATGGGAGGATGGGGATGATACGCTGGGCGAAGAAGTCCTCAGGATGTCCACTGATGAAATTGTAAGCCGTACTAGGCTTTTGGATAACGAAATAAAAATAATGAAAAGCGAGGTTATGCGTATCAATCATGAATTGCAAGCTCAAACAGAGAAGATTAAAGAGAATACTGAAAAGATTAAAGTGAATAAAACTCTTCCTTACTTAGTTTCTAATGTAATAGAATTGTTAGATGTAGATCCACAAGAAGAAGAAGAAGATGGGGCTGTAGTTGACTTAGATTCTCAACGCAAAGGTAAATGCGCTGTTGTCAAAACCTCTACACGTCAAACGTACTTTTTGCCTGTCATTGGGTTAGTTGATGAGGAAAAATTGAAACCAGGCGATCTTGTAGGAGTAAACAAAGACTCTTACTTAATTCTTGAAACTCTTCCTGCAGAATATGATGCCAGAGTCAAAGCAATGGAAGTAGATGAACGCCCCACCGAACAATATTCTGATATTGGTGGTTTAGACAAACAAATCCAAGAGTTAATTGAAGCTGTAGTTCTTCCAATGACACACAAAGAAAAATTTGTAAACCTCGGCATTCACCCCCCTAAAGGAGTATTATTATATGGTCCCCCTGGCACAGGTAAAACCCTACTAGCCAGAGCATGTGCTGCACAGACAAAATCAACATTTTTAAAACTTGCTGGGCCTCAGTTGGTCCAAATGTTTATTGGTGATGGTGCCAAATTGGTGCGTGATGCTTTTGCACTCGCCAAAGAAAAAGCCCCTGCTATTATTTTCATTGATGAGTTGGATGCCATTGGTACAAAACGTTTTGATTCTGAGAAAGCTGGTGATCGTGAGGTACAACGTACCATGTTAGAGTTGCTGAACCAGTTGGATGGCTTCAGTTCCACTGCTGATATTAAGGTTATTGCTGCTACTAATAGAGTGGATATTTTGGATCCTGCGCTTTTGAGATCTGGAAGATTGGATAGAAAGATTGAGTTCCCTCATCCAAATGAAGAAGCAAGGTAAAAAACATTACATTTATAATAAAAAAAAATATTTTATCTGGTCAAAATTTTAACTTTTAATTTGTCTATCTACTTATATAATACACTACTGTATTAAGTTACTGAGTGTATTACATTGGGAAAAAGGGAGGTTAAAAACGTTTGACAGATGACAAATTGACTTCTGTAAAAAAAGGGTAATTTTTTGTGAATTTACCTTTATAGTTAAGGTAAATTAACACAAAATGTCCCCCATTTTTGTACAGAATCAATGTATTTATATGGTATGCAAGCAGGGTTGGCTCGAATTAAGTCAGTGATTTAATTCGCGAATTAATTCAATTGACTTTTTTTTAAGTCACGAATTAATTTTTTTTTTTACAATGAGAACAAATTGTATTATCAACTTCAATATACAGTGCTTGCAAATGCAAGTCCGACCGCACTGGAAAGGACGGCTGTTCAATACCCGCGTGAAAAGAACAAGGATAGAACGCCAAATAGAATTTGATTGGCCAGAGCCCCGGATGCGTGCGAATTGTAAGCGAGGTCAACTCTGGCTGCCACAGTGGCTGCATTTAGACTAAATGACAGAGACAAACGAGACAGTCAAGTCAATGAAAATAAAGTATCCGATGGCGCCATCCTTGTCTAACATCACCAAAGGTGAAGACAGATGGCGCTAATAGGCATTAAACCGCGAAATTCGAATTGCATACTTGATTTTTTTTGTTTTTTTTGCTGTTTAAAATGAATGAGAGTGATTCAAACAAAATTTTAATACTTTTTTATGGATTTAATTTGAAAAATATTACATAAAATAATAATTACAAATAATATAACAATAAATAAATGCAACCAGTGGTTATAAACTTTTAGACCCATTTAATCAAATAATACTGTTTAACATTCAGTTTAACTGAATTCTACAAATCTTATCTAATTTTATATGGAAAAGCTCAATTAAATGCTGAATAGATTTTGAATCCAGTACTCGAAAATCTTTATTTAATGAGACATTGAAAATAAAAAACAATGTTTTCATTCCATTGAAAAAAAGAATGTTAGTGCTATTTTATTTTTAATTTGACTCTTAAAATTTGTATTAAAAACTTGCAAAAAATTTAAAAAATATAAAAATATAACATGAAAAAATTATTAGCAAATTAAAAACAAATAGCTTATAAAAAAACTATACAATGGGCCTAAGAGATAAATATACAGCCTATATATTTTAACAATTAAAACCAAAAAGAATGTTGGTGTTATTTTAATTTGCCTCTTAAAATTGTTATTAGAAAACAAATATATATTTAAAAAACTATACAAATGGGCCTTAAATATATATATATACAGACTATATACTTTCACAATAAAAAACATAACATTTACATATCTACATATATATAGGGTGTTTCATTGAAAACACAATGTTATTGCTATTTTTTTAATTTGCCTCCTAAAAATTGAATTTTAAAACTAAAAATATTAAAAATCCAGCAAATTGAACAAATAGCTCATGAAACACCCTATATAAATTAACATAAACAATTAAACATAAAAATAACATATTATTCATGGTGGAACTTCTTAACTTTTCTTTTATTTGCTCGCTTTTCTTTACGAATTTCTTTAATTTTTTGATTTTTTCTCTTGCACCACCAAGGAATTCCAATTTTGCAAATGGACTTAATGGTTATTGATCTTATATTATTTTTATGTTTGCTACACAATAGCCATTCAAAATCAATTTTATTCTTAAGTTCATTTTGACAGGTCAATAAAATTTTCCTGTTTGAAGCACATTTATCCAAAAGTGTCTCTAGTGCCACAATGCCCTTTCCAACAGCCACAGTAAAATTTTCACTAGGATATAGCAAAGAATTCTTCTTTTCTGACCATTCTTTGTTATATATATAAATATTATGCAATTCAAAACTTTCAGACGCTAATTTTACATTGCATAATTTGCAATTAATTTTTTTCTTAATGCCTTTCATAATAAAGCCAGCAACATAGGCTACAGAAAAGACATCTGGGCTGCCAGACGAAACAGCAGCTGCAATATCGTCAGATGTTGCCTCTGAAACTGAGTCCTCAGGAGATTCTATTATGATTTCCTGTTCTTTTGGCTCCCCTCCTTCTCCATCAACATTTAAAAATTGCTTGAGATTCGTCAGAAGCACATTTTCATCTTCTTCACAATTCGTTGCAAAGGCTTTATTTGCCAAGCCATTTAAAATTTGAGTTTTGAAGCTGCCAATAAACTGCTTCACTGTTGGGTTATCATTGCTGCCACAACCATACCTTATTGCTCCAAATAAATTTTCTAACGGATCCTGATTTAAGGACCTTGGTCTTAATAAGGAGCAACCCTTATTCTTTAGGTGATTCCACACTCCTCTGATGGCATTTAAAGATGTCAGCCACCCTATTTGCGACGGAGGTTTAGATGTTTTTATTGCGCCATTTTTAGTAAGCCTTTTAAAAGTCCAACTCTTTACTTTTTCATAAGCTTCTGCCCAGTAATTTAGATGCAGAGACTCATCTGTCACTGCACAGCGAAGATCTTTACCCTCCGGTGCTCTGTTTGTTCGGCCATTGAAACTGTCAAACAGGGTATCAACTTCCTTTACAAAAGTGGCTGTAGCAATTACTCTGGATTCAACAACTCCTGCAAAAATAAATAAAGTTAAATAATGAAGTTTTAAAAATTGGAGGAAAAAAATTACCTGAACTTATCAAGGAGTATAGAAAGGCTCCAACAGTATGACTGAACATTTGAGCTGCTACAGATACTTTCATGGCATATCTCATAATGGGTTTGAGATGTGTTTCCTTTATTTTATGCATACTTCTAAATATAAGAGGATTATTTTTATCTATCTCATGTGCTCTGACTATATCACTAAATCGGGCTTCCATTATTGATTGAGACCCATCACTGGAAGTTATTGGTATCAGGACATTGTGTTTCCTGAACAATGAATAGAAGCATTTAAGGAGGTGAGGTGGATCATACATGGCAAAGACTTGTTCATTTTCAAAGGAAAAGGAAGGTTTTTCAATTGTAACACCTAATTCCTTTAGACATTTCACATTGGATACTCCCATGTCACAAATCGTTGTGACAACATCCACCTTGGCATAATGTTTTGCTGCATAGAGCACTTCAAATAAGCATTCCTTAAGAGTTGTGGAATTGCAACCATTGGAGCTAAAATAAAATGCTACTGGTTGCTTCCAGTTGTGGGAAAGTCCCACTAGCATAAACACCAAGGCCTTGTTTGCAGGTTTCATTGTCCTTCCAGATTTGACTCCACCTCCAAAATCTTCAAAACCAAAAATCATATCTTCACCCTCATCATGCTGCACATTCTCCTGGATATCCATTTCATCATAAAGAAGCGCGCAACTTCTATCAATGCCTTGGGCGAGGCTATCGTTGATATTTTTGAAGATGTGCTCATTAATGCCTACTTGAAATGGCACCCTTTTGAGTAAAGATAGTATGGTTGTTTTATTTGGAAGGGCAACGAATTTTCTCAGCAAATTGTAGCACCTGGGACTTCTTTTAAAGATGCAAAGAGCAAGAATTTTGTCATCCAGGGTCCATCTTCTGCCTTTAGAGCCTTTGACCTTAAAGTTTCTTATTTGTGAAATCAAAAAATTTGAGGTCACTGACGACATCCCTTGAAAAAGATTTTGTACCACTTTGGAATCTGACAGATTGGTCAATGCTTTTATGTCATTGGCCCTATTTTTGCATAGCTTCTTGATCTTCCTTAAATGGTCTTCTCTATTGTGGATGATTTTAATTAATTTTTTTTTTCTTGGTGAGGAATCCTTTACTGACAAATTTTCAATGTTCCTAAACGTTCTGGATCTTGTCCTGCCTGGATTGCTGTGAGTCTGGGGTGGAGTTGATGGATCTGAACTACAGGCAGGCAACATTGCTGAGGATTCCTCTTGGACTTCCTCTAGATTCTCTGAAATAAAATAAATATTATTATAAAATGCATTATGTAACAAAATTCTCATTACGTAGTTGGGACATTGAGGTTGAGAAACCTTGTATAATTATTATGTAGTAAGTTAAATTTGGTATAAAAGATATATGTATACGCCACTGAATTTTGTTGTGGGCTTTAGTTCAGACTTTTAGTTTAAGACATCCTTTATATAATAGTTTTAGTGAGTTAAATTTTGTACAAAATATACCTATGTATGTACGCCATTTGAGATTTTAAAATTGTTATTTTCTTCCCAATAAAGCCAAAATTTAAGAAGCCACTATTGTTAAACAAAAAATTGTTCTTTACAATGTCAACAGCATACAATTTTATAATTATTATAATTTTATAAATTTTAGAAATGTTAGGCCTTATGCACAGCCCTGGTAAAAAGACTTTTTATAAGAGCATCTATTATTAACTGTAATTATTATAACTACCTTCGCATGCTTCAGTACTTTCTAAACTACTAGCCAGTGTTATCGCTTCTAAATTTCTTACTTGAGATGTAGATGCTTCGTTTAGCCAAGCAATGGGGAGAGCATCCCTTTTAAGCTTGTAGCTCGCCAAATTCATATATGACTCTGGTGTGAAATGTTTAGAACATATCCTGTAGTTCCTAAGCGATTCCCCAGTAAACTTCATGCCCAATATTTCTTGCCAAAGTTTTGATCTAGAATAAAAAAGTTGACACACATTAAAAATTATTCTACTTAACTACAGTCAAACTTATAGACTAAACTAGGTGAAAAATTATCTTACCTTTGTATATTAGAAGGAAAGTAATGCATTCTATCAACTTCATCCTCCCTACATCCACAAATAATGCAAGAAACCATGATTGTTATTGCACAGTTTAAAATACGTATAGCAATCGCAAAAATAACACACAATCCAAACACTGTTATCAATTCACTGCAAAAGCATAGACACAAATAAAACCAAAACACAGCATAAAGATTAAATATACTCTTCCCTTTATACCTAAATGATTTAGGCTAAATCCGAAATAATTTAAGGTAATTAAAGTTAATTACCTCATAATTACATCAAATTACTTTGTTGTTTATTATACTACTGGCAGGTAAACAAAATAAAGATTTGAAATAATGAAAATGGTTGCTTCGAACATCAACTGTCAAATGGTGCAATGTTGCCAGATCGGTATCCCTAAATAAATAACATTGTATTTTCTTAGACTTGAAAAGTTACAGAAAAATACAACAACTTGAACATACCGGCAACACTTAATAATTCGATTAATGCGCCATCTACACTCACCTTTAATGAAGCGAGATAAAGAAAGCACTATAGGGAAATATGTGAAAAAGAAAGAAATAGCATGAATAGGATAAATTTGTAGGCGCACTTGACTGTCTCGTTTGTCTCTGTAAATGATTTAGTGTCAGAGACAAACTCTCTGTTAGTGTCAGAGATGTTAGTGTTAAGCAAACTGCGTTAGAGTGGAGATGCACATTTTAATTTTCTTTTTAAATATTTTATACCCGAATCCTAAAAATAAAAATAAAACTCTAAATAAAAATATAGACCAGTGCAGAAGCCTTTAAAAATGGTAAAAAGAGAAAAAAAATAACAGTAGGATAAAACCCATTGGAAAAGGAGGGGAATATAATAAAAATTAAAGGAAAAATAAATTATGGGCGATCTGATTTCGGGAAGTGGGAGGGGGGGGGGTTTTAAGGGTAAAAAATGGTTTATCTCGATTTCCGGGAAAACTACAAGTCCTATGGAAAAAAGTTAAATGTCAAAGTTGTAGGTAATAAAAAGATCTACAACTTTTGTATTTAAAATTTTTTCACATTACCTCAAAATTTATGTGAAAAAATCAAAAAACCAAGTTTTTGTTTTTTTATTTTTATCTTTTTCAAAAATGAAAATAAATTTGGTGAAAACTTACCTTTTTATGTCCCAAATACGCTGTAATTTATTTGATTTGAAATATTTATTATTTCGCCTTATTTTGACTTAATATCAAAAAAGCACCCTAATTTTCAATCGAAAATTCTCGCGTCAAAATATCAGTTTTTTTCAAAAAGTCGGTGTGCTTTTTGTTCGATGAACTCTCTACTTTCTGATGGTGTAAAAAAAATATACATTACTATGGTAAATGTTCTCAGAAAATACAAAAAATATTATAATGAATAACGTAATCAGAATGAAGTATCTAAATTCAATAGTATGATTTACATGTATTTTTATATTTTATGAGATTTTCTGACATAAATGTTATTAGAATTTAATAAATAAACTTTTTAACTAAAAAAAATTGCAACAATCACATTTTTTTGATGAAATTGTACATAATGATTAAAATAAATTTTCGAATTCGAGTTTTTTTCGTTATTCATTATAATATTTTTTGCATTTTCTGAGAACATTTACCATAGTAATGTATATTTTTTTACACCATCAGAAAGTAGAGATTTCAACAAACAAAAAGCACACCGACTTTTTGAAAAAAGCTGATATTTTGATGCGAGAATTTTCGATTGAAAATTAGGGTGCTTTTTTGATATTAAGTCAAAATAAGGCGAAATAATAAATATTTCAAATCAAATAAATTACAGTGTATTTGGGACATAAAAAGGTAAGTTTTCACTAAATTTCGTGGAAAAAAAATTTTTTTTTTTGAAAAAGATAAAAATAAAAAACCAAAAACTTGGTTTTTTGAATTTTTCCCATAAATTTTGAGGTTATGTAAAAAAAATTGTAATTACAAAAGTTGTAGATCCTTTTATTACCTACAACTTTGCCATTTAACTTTTTTCCATAGGACTTGTAGTTTTGCCGGAAATCGAGATAAACCATTTTTTACCCTTAAAACCCCCCCTCCCACTTCCCAAAGTCAGATCGCCCGTAATTTATTTTTCCTTTTATTTTTATTATATTCTTCTCCTTTTCCAATGGGTTTCATCCTACTGTTATTTTTTTTGGTTTCAAAAATTATCGATCCTGGTCTAAATAAACTCAAAAATTAAATTAAATGTTCGAACAAGCAATTATTAACGGTTCGTCGAATTGTTTCTCTGTTTGGTCTGGCCTCGAACATTCCCGCAAATAATCTTTGAATTTCTCGTTCAGAATTACTAGCAAAATGCCAGATTAAAATCTGAACTTTTTGTTCCAACGTGTACCTACATTTTTTAATTAAATAATCTTTTTTTACTAAAATTACTACCTCTTGCTGGCACCACTGCAGTTCTCGTTCTGATATCCTCGTGTCAAGCACGCTGCGAGGTGCGCGATGGGTATGCGTTGTCGTAGCCTGCCGGCTGGCCAATCAAATTCTATTTGGCGTTCTATCCTTGTTCTTTTCACGCGGGTATTGAACAGCCGTCCTTTCCAGTGTGGTCGGACTTGGATTTGCAAGCACTGTATATGTATATGTATACATATACATATATACATAACACCCTGTACATATACAGGGTGTTATGTAATTAATGTAATATATGAAAATGGGTAGTTCCTTAGGGTCCATAAAGCAGCACCTTAAACTTTTTTTTCTAAATTTAAAAGGCTAAAAATAATTTATAATAACCTTTATCCTACCAAAAAGTACGCCTAATTTAATTTATTATGTTATGGTTGGTAACAATCAGCGTTTCCAGATTCTGTCAAAAAAAGTTTCCAGACTTTGTTTTAATTTAGCTTAATTACAAAAATGACAAAATCAACAAAGCAAATTGTTAATTTGGCGTTTTTATTATGTCATTTTTGTAAAGCCGGGTCTACAATTGTCACAAGGCTTTTGTCAGCTGGGTGCTTTGCGCAAGCTTATGTTCTGCGATCTGCGACAATTGTAGACACGGCTTAATGAAGGTAAATTCAAACAAAATCTGGCAACTTTTATGACAGAATCTAGTGCATTTCTTTCAAATTTTGGGTTATGTGCTCAAATTGTACATATCTTAACTAAGGATTTGGATTTATTCACACAAATTGAATGTTTAAAGTTTAACCTGTAATCTGAGTAAACAGAAAGAAAAAAAACGATGAAAAAATTAATTTTGTGGTTATGGAGTTTTTAAAATAGGTACAAAATTTTCTAATCATTGCTTAAGCTAGTAGCTGGATGAGTAAATAAATATGAAGGGTATTAGAGCTTTAAGGGCATAAAACTTTTGCATTTATTAAGTTTTTATTTATTTCTTGCAAGAAAAATTTTTAGTAACAATTTTTTACAACTGTAAACGCGCAGCTACTTTGTTGGTTGGTTTTCTATGTATTCACAGAAGTTCTGTGACAGAACACAAGTGTGTAACCAGTGGCGTATCACAAAAAATATAAAAAAATTCTAATGCATATTTTTTCTTTATCTTTGGGAAAATATTTTTTAAAATATTTTTCCGTTACACTTTTGTCAAAAGATATTCAGTATTTTAATATATTACATTAATTACATATATGTATGTAGTATAAGCAAAGCTGGGCACGAGTACTAAAAAAAGTATGAGTACTTAAAATATTTACTCGTAAGTACTTTACTTGTAGGTACATTTGTGAAGAGAGGTAACGGTTATGAGTAGTAATCGTGAAAACACAAAAAATGTTAGTTAATATAATTGATTATTTTTTATACATAATACATGGTCCTGAGCTATAAAAATACAATTACAAGTTTATAAAATTAACGAAAATTAATTAATTTAAACATTAGGTACATAAAATATTAAATAAAAATAACAATTCTTAAATAGTTTATAATTTTACCTTTATACTTGTTATAAAACGTATAGGCTATAATATATTATATTATATATGGCACGCCGTTTTAACATTTATTAAATAATTTTTTAATTTAAAATTTTATTGGTTTAAAATTTTCCTAACTAAAAATTTTAGGTTTACATTTATAAATTTATAATATTTTCAACTATAATGTATTGAAAGACAAAATTTACTAACCAACAGTTCACTTCTGTATTAAACAGTAATATTTTCTATCAATTTTTGCAAAAATTTTTAACTATCATTTTTTAATAAAAATAATTTCCCAAGTATAATTTATTTGGGTGGCATTTTGTTAACTTAAATAAATATTTTATAAAATTATTGAGATTAATTTGGTAAAGTTAAATTTTTTAGTATTTAAAAATAGTATAAAGCCATTTAAAATAAAAACACATATAAAACATTTTCTATCAAAATAGTTTTAAAAGTTAAATTTTTGTAAACTCAAAACTTATTGTAATCAAAAAATATTTTAAATAGAAAATGCACATGTTAAAGTTTAAGTTTAAAAATATTAATTAAAAAAAAATGGAATTTTAATATTTTATTCTTCAAAATTATTGGTTTAAATTTGTAAAGAGTCATTTAAATGATAGTCGATTAATTTTCAATACAAAAATTTGAACATTACATTCAAATGTTAGTTTTAAATTTTAAAGTGGTAATTTTTGCATTAAAAATTTATCGACTATCATTTAAATGACTCTTTACAAATTTAAACCAATAAATTTTATTTTTAACAATTTTAAATTGATACATTTTTAAGACAAAATTTATAATTTTAAATTTAAATGTAAATGTTTTAATTACAAAGTGTAAACGTAGCTTTAGTAGAAGGCACAAGAGTCTGGGATCGGCCACGATGCAGACAGTTTGATCCGCAGTGTTGCCAAATCGTGCTTGCTCCATAAATATTTGACGCGTTTTACAAATTATCATAATAAAATGTTTCTTTATTACATAAATTTAATAATAGAACAACATTTTTAGTGCCTATTGTACAATTAAAAAACATCAACGGATCAAACTGGCTTCATCGTGGCTCCGATCCCAGACTCTTGTGCCTTCTACTAAAGCTACGTTTACACTTTGTAATTTAAAAATTATCGACTTACATTTAAATGTAAAGTTATAAATTTTGTCTTAAAAATATATCACTTTAAAATTGTTAAAAATAAAAAATTTTGGTTTAAATTTGTAAAGAGTCATTTAAATGATAGTCGATAAATTTTTAACCCAAAAATTACTACTTTAAAATTTAAAACTTACATTTAATGTAATGTGAGAATTTTTGTATTAAAAATTTATCAACTATCATTTAAATGACTCTTTAAAAACTTAAACCAATAATTTTTTAGAATAAAATATTTCAACCAAAACTTTTAAAAATCAATATTTTTAAACATAAATTTTTACTGTTGCATATTATATTTAAAATATTTTTTGACTATCAATTGTTTTGAGTTTAAAAAAATTTAACTTTGTAAATTTCTGTTAAAACATAATTTAAGTGCTAAACTTTAATCTTTACACTTTTATCTAATAAATGCTAAAACGGCGTGCCATAATTATAGGTACTATATATTATATAATTTAAAACAGACTTACAAAAAAAATGTTTTGATGCTTACGATATTTTGGCAAGTAAAATGATTGTTCTTGCCACTTTAAGTTCTCTTTTAAGGCTTACAAGTCTCTCTGTAAGAAACACAACGTTTAAAACGATTATTAATCTGTATACAGATTAATACAAACCCAAAGCACAAAAATTGTAAACAACAAAAATGGCCGACGTTAAGCTCTGTGCAGTGTTGCAGTGATTTTTAGTACGAGATAGAACGGACCTTGTTGTGTGGATTGTGGAATAAGTCATTTTTTTAGCATTGACGACGCTACATTGTCAATATGAGTGTAAACGTCAGATTCAAACAATTTTGACATGTTTTTTAATTTTGCAAAATATCGTAGTTAAAATTAAAATTAGCATCACTCGACAAAAAAAGCGTTTTCCTCGCGTCGAATCGCAGTTACTCCCTCGATGAATTCCTTCCCTCGCCTACCGGCTCGTTCGGAAACTTTTATTATCAGAAGTAATTCCACGCTCGCCAAACAATATACTATACCATATTAACTTCCTAGGATTGACTTGTTATCATTTTGTCTTGTTATTTTAGTTTGTCATTATGTAATCTGTCATAATTTTATCTGGTTAATCTTTTTTCCTGTTATCGTATCATTGCTGTTTTTTTACCTAGTTATTCAATTAAAAAAAATATTAACCCATTATTTTTAATCATTTCAGAGCAAGAATCATGCAAATTCACTCAAGAAAAATGACTGTAAACCCAGATGTGAACTTTGAAGAATTGGCCAGGTCTACCGATGACTTTAATGGGGCCCAATGTAAGGCAGTGTGTGTTGAAGCTGGTATGATTGCTTTGAGAAGAAGCGCCACAGCTGTCACCCATGAAGATTACATGGATGCTATTATGGAAGTACAGGCCAAGAAGAAGGCCAACTTAAACTACTATGCTTAAAAAATTATAGATTTAGGTTAAATTTAATAGAGCTTTTTTATTTATAACCTGTTTTTGATTTATTTATCGACATATTTCATTGGCTAAGTATTAGATATCAAAAAATTAAAGAAAGTTGTCAAATATTGATGGAAGAATTTAACATTTTAAAAAATTTGCGGGTTTGGTTGGTAAATGTCTATTACTAACCCTATAATAATTATTGAATTAATCAAATTCTAATAATTATAAATATAATCGTTGAGTGAAGAAGTGCCTTAATCAATGATATAATTGCAAAGAAAAAATGTCCTTTGTCATTAAAAATTTGTCAAAAAGTACAGTGGCGGACACGGAATTTTAAATGACGCCATGAAAAAATGTCCTTTGTCATTAAAAATTTGTCAAAAAGTACAGTGGCGGACACGGAATTTTAAATGACGTCATGACGTATCATTTTAAACTCATTTTAACCAACCCTACGTCCGGTCATCACTAGTCTTGTCATTTTGACAGCAAAAACATTGTATCTATCTATTATATTGTATAATTTTTAGAAAATACGACGAAATTGGCTTAACATTGAAAGAAAATTAACCTTAATTATTTTTATCAGTCATGCGAGACTGATGTGTGGAGCATAGATAGTGGCGGACACGAAATTTTGAACATCATAATTTATTTGGTTGTCCATGTATACTAAAATAGTTTTCGCTGTCAAAATGACAAGACTAGTGATACATATTATTTATTTTTGTGTTCTGTTAGCGTTAGTGTATATTATACCTAATGTTTTATTTGTAAATAATAATAAAGTTTAATACACTAGACGCCATCTGTTGTCGTATTAATGAATGTGATGAATGTTTTGTGTGTTGCATAACTTTCAAGTCCAAAGAGCCATCTGGCGGACAACGAAGCCAGAACAGCTCTGAGCCTTGATAAAGCTACACGTAAATTTAAAACAAAATTATAACATCAGAAGTGAGATAAAAAACCAAAAAAATACGGTCACAAATAAGTGCATTTAACGAAATACTGTGTGTAACTGTGATTTTATGGACTGAAAATGTCTAATGCCGAAGATTTAGGAGGTAGAAAAGAAGCTGATGCAAGCGACAACAATGGCGGCTGCCCAGCTTTGACCACACCCAACTTGGAGACATTATTTTGCCAATTTTTGGAGAAAATGGACCAACGGGCCAATCCTTCTGCTTCACCAGACTTATTTCCTATTTCTCTACCCACATTTATTCCGGGTTGCGATGATCCTAAACGTTGGACCGATGATATTTCCGCTTTGGCCGTAGAATTGGGATGGAGCGACACCGTTTTACTATCTCGAATTTCTAATTGTTTTACCGGTGAGGCAGGTGAGTGGTTTGCAAATTGGAAACCGATAGATCAACGTACTTGGGGCAATTTAAAGCGCGATATTTGTATTAGTTTTGCCGGCACTGCCGATTTTGCTAAATTAGTTTTTGACGCTATTAATTTTAATTCTGACGGTTGTGCTAGCTATGGCGCCTATGGGCGAGCTAAATTGCAAAAACTTATTTCTACTCGCTTAATTCTAAACGATGAACAAACCGTGAGTTTAATTTGTTTCGGTATTAAAGATTCTGTTTTGCGTTCACAAATTATGCAGTCCGGTCATTTGAGTCCTAACTCGTTAATGATTCAACTAGCAAATATTCAGACAAAACCGCGGGGTATTTTACACGCCAGTACAACTTATAATCAAAATTACTCTAATTCTAATTTAACTACTCAACAAAAACGACCGATGTCAGACTCATTTCGGTGCTATAAATGTGGACAACCGGGCCACCGGCAGGCTGATTGTCCCCAACGAGGCCAAAAACGATATAGCAATGGAGCTTCCGTCTCAAATCCGTCTACATCCGGCACAAGCGGCTTTTATTGTAGATATTGTAAAGTGCCAGGCCATACTATTGAAAAGTGCTATAAGCGAACGCAGGATAACCGCAGCTCCACTAATAACCCAAAGCGTGTCAATGTTTGTCATTCTCCCCGTAAAACTAGTCAAACCAACCCTACCGACTTACATCTTTCATCAATTTCTATTAATCATAAGATACACCAGGCATTACTTGATACAGGTGCGCAGGTGTCTTTGATAAAAAATTGTGTAGCGCAAAAATTATCGTCTAACCTCATTTATGAGCCAATTTCGATATCAGGGGTAGGAAATAATTTATTTCAGTCTACACATGTAATTTTTGTTAATATACAGCTAACAAAAGTTGATATCCCTTTCAAAATTCATGTTGTACCCTATGAAACCCTTTGCTGCGATATAATACTTGGCTGTGATTTTCTGCGGTTGCCAGGTGTAACATTGACATATAATAATACAATTCCTACTCTAGAATACAAAAACTGCGATACTCCTAAAAATTCAGAAGAAGGCGACCTTCAGCTGCTTCTAGAAAAGTTTCAAGATGTACTCACTACTGGCAATAAAATCCCCCAGCCCATAACTACGGGTGAATTTAAAATTCACCTCACCTCTGATAAAGAAATTAATTATCGCCCCTACCGGTTATCTTCAGCTGAACGCGAAACTTTGCGGGATATTATCAATGATCTTATTCAGAATGGCATAATCCGACCGTCTAATTCTCCTTACGCAAGTCCTTGCTTACTTGTGCGCAAAAAGAATGGTCAATCTCGTTTGGTGGTGGATTTCCGCGCCCTCAATCGCATCACAGTCAGGGACCGCTATCCACTCCCTCTTATTGATGATCAGATTGACCGCTTAAGTACTAGCAAATACTTCACTACTTTAGATATGGCAGCTGGTTTCCACCAGATCCCTGTTCATTCTGATTCTGTACCAAAGTTAGCCTTTGTAACACCTGACGGACAGTATGAGTACCTCCGAATGCCCTTTGGTCTTGCCAATGCACCCTCTATCTATCAAAGAGCCATCAACATGGCCCTTCGTAATGAAATTCAAAAGGGTATTGCCCTCGTCTATTTAGATGATGTACTCATTCCATCCGCAACGCCCGAAGAAGGCATTTCTCGGCTTACTCTAGTCCTTACAACCCTTCGATCTCATGGTTTTTCAGTTAATTTAGACAAATGCCACTTTCTACAAACTGAAGTAGAATATCTGGGTAGATTAATTTCGAATGGCTGTGTACGACCAAGTCCATCCAAAACTCAAGCCCTTAAATCCTTATCACTTCCGACTAATGTTAGAGAAGTTCGCCAATTTCTCGGGCTCGCGGGATATTTTCGAAAATTTATACCCGATTTCTCCCTAAAAACACGTTTACTTTCTAATTTGACAAAGGTCAATGAACCTTGGAGATGGACATCTGATCACACTGCTGTCTTTAACGAGATTATTGATATTCTCTCCGACGAACCGGTGCTGGCCATTTTCAATCCAGAGTTACCCATTGAACTTCACACAGACGCCAGTAGCCACGGTTTTGGAGCGATTATATTTCAAATCTATGACGGTCAGAAGCGCGTTGTCGCATACTTTAGCAAAGCAACCACCGATGCAGAATCGCGGTATCACTCGTACGAGCTTGAGACTTTAGCGGTAGTTAATGCGCTTAAACATTTTAGACATTATTTAGTTGGCGTCCCTTTTAAGCTAGTTACGGATTGTAATGCCCTTAAACGATCACAATACAAACGTGATTTAGTTCCACGAGTTAGCCGTTGGTGGATGTATCTTCAAGACTTTAACTTCGATATTGAACACACACCAGGCAAGCAAATGTCTACGGTCGATTACTTAAGCCGTAATCCCCCGCGTCCAGTAGCTGTCGGTAATGTAACAGTCCCTGACTCCGCTAGTCACGACATCGAAGATGCTGAAGAACCCGACAATTTAATGCCTCAGGGTTGGTTGACTGTCCAGCAAAGTAATGACCCCGAAGTAGTTGAATTAAAAGAAAAATTGTTAAATAACGAACTTGACAAAAATCAATTTTGTATCATTGGACACACCCTCTGTCACATTAGTACCATACATTCCGAAAAGATAACTCAATATTTTGTTCCTAAATGTGCTCGCTTTGCTCTACTGAAAGAATATCACGACGGCCAAGCTCATATTGGGGTGGATAAGACTGTAGCTAGCATCTCGTCTCATTTTTGGTTCCCAAAATTACGCGCATTTGTTAAAAAGTACGTTGAAGCTTGCTTAACGTGCCTCACAAAAAAACGTATAACAACATCAAACAACTTTGACGTTCGCTCCATCCCCAAAGTTCCAATCCCTTTTCATACCGTCCATGTTGACTGCCTAGGTCCACCCATATATTTGTAGCTGTAGACGCCTACTCAAAATACTGTTTCCTCTACGCCTTAAAAAGTCAGAAAACCGAAGACCTTGCTAATTGTGTAGTCGATATGATATACCTCATTGGCACCCCTGCTCGATTCATCGCCGATAACGGTACATCGTTTAAAGCGGTCCCTAATCACCACCTCCTAAGTGAATGGAACATCGACTGGCACTTTATCACCCCATATGTTCACCAAGCTAATGGTCAAGTTGAACGTTACATGCGTTTCATTGCTAACTTACTCCGTGTCCAAGCTGACGTTCATAATCATTGGGATGATCTGGTTTCCCGTACTCAGTTAATTATTAACTCCACCGTTCATAAAGTAACGCAAAAAACACCTTTGCAAACCTTATTTGGCTGCGATAATCGCCTTCCTGAAATTCAAAGAATAATCAACTGTGCCTCCGATGATAAACTCCTTGACTCGCCACCTCAACTTGTACAATGGCGACAGTTTATTAACCAACGCTTGAATGATAATGCCACTCAACAGGAAACTTACGCTGCTGCTAAACGTACTCGTTTGCAACAACCTACGTTTGCAATTGGCGACTATGTGCTCGTCACGCGTGAGGCTCTCAAACCCAAGAAATTGGAATCTGGCTGGATGGGTCCTTACAAAATTACTGGTATTTCCTCCCCGAATCGCTATGAACTACGCAGAGTTGACGATGTTAGTGAATCCACCCGCATTACTGCAGCCGCCGCGATACA